GTAGCAACAGGAGGAATGACATCACGTTGGTTAAAATATTGATGCTCGCTTACACCAACACTCAATTGTCCCTACCACCAGTGGAGCAGCACCAGTGGGAATTTTTAAAAATGGGTCTAGTGTGGACAAGGCCTTAGACATAAATGGATTATGCGGAGAAAAATCTCCTGTGTGTGGAGTTAGTCAGAGATTTAAATGTGTGAATGTCCTCAAATAACCTACATAGCCTAGAGAAGTAAGCCAACTGTCACACCCAGTTCTGGATTCCACATTAACCACCTCCTTCCGCAGTGTTAAACTTTGCCCTCAAGGACTTTTGTTTAACTTTTTAATTTGAAAACCAGATACTGCTGCTTTACAACCTCCACTTTTTGCTTTAAGTGAAAGGCCTCATTGTTATTTCAGGAAATGTTCAGGTAGAAGTAATCCTAACAAGTTTTTGTTTGTTTTGTTTTGTTTTAAAGCACACAGAAAACGCTTATGGTTACATTTCAATAAATCACATAGGAAGGCTGTATTGAGAAGATTTTAATAAACTTTGGGCCTGATTCTATATTTCTGATCCAGGCAAAACTGTTAGTGAAATCTGTGAAGTGCTGTCTGCTTTTCTCTTGTAAATATGCCAGTTTCCAGTGCGTTTCCTAGCTGTTCTTTCCAGTACAAAGGACACAAGTGCCAAAAGTTGCTTAAGGTTTTGTGTCTGTGGCTGTGCTATCTTCAGAATAGCATAAAAACAAATAGACTGGCACTATCAAAGAAACGTAATTGCCATTTCAGTCTTCCTGTTTAGGATTCAGTCAAGTAGATATTGTTTATGGTTCATAAAACCCCTTACTAGTGTGAGGATTCTAAGATACTGGCAGTGTAAAGCTTCAACTTTCATCGTGCTGTAAATTAGAAAAAAAAAGTGTGATAATACTCCTCCGAGAACAGTAAAATAGAGCTCCGCAATGGTTAAATGGAATTTTATAAGCACATTCGGTGTGGAACTGTTTTGCATTACATGAGTTGAATACCTTAGAGATGACACACATCTGCAGGCACTTTATTAAATCCTTAGTCAGCACTTTTCAACCTGATGAGATTACTTCTTCATTTGACTGGAGAAAGGAAAGCTAAGATCTTGTACTGGACTGCAGAATTCTTTTTGATGTTTCACCTTGAACACTAGAATAGGACAGTGAGATACTCTGTAGGTCAATACAGAACTGTAGTAATATTGTTGACTATAGAGCGGTAATTTTACTAAGCTAGGACCTTTTGGGCCAGTGGATTTATTTAACTCTAAACTCCCCACTGCAGTATGTTTTTTTAAAAAAGATAAATATGGGTCAAAGCTAAATGTTTGCTTTTCTGGTAAAATGCACAAAGATAACTTCATCCTGGTTGTGATATTGCATGCAATTTAAATGGAGATGTAAAATTAAGAAAAGAAATACTTTTGTTCCCCAGCTGGATGCAGTAGGTTAGCTTGCAGGACATGAAAGAAGGATGAAAAGTAGGCGGTAGCCAGAAAGCATAGTCAAGCTTAAATTATGTTGGGGAGCAATAGCAAAAAATTCCATACGTATAGATTTGGGTTTGCTTGTTTCACTGCGCCTTTTAATCATACAGAGAACTCTGCAAATCACAGATCTCAGAGCTGCATATTCTGTTATGTGCTTCATATGCATTTTTCATTTTATATGTTGAGGTCTGCTCCTCTTTTCAGTGGAAGTTTCCTAGGTGAGTCAAAAGGATAACTGAACTCTTCAAACATAATCCAAGAAGATTTAAGCTCATATGTAAGGTTTGGGGGACGTGGATTCTTAATATTAAAAAATTGTCTAGGAAAAACAGGATAATTACGCATGTGTATTTCTGCTGTAAAATATAAATTAAAATGGTATCTTGAGAGCAGTGCAGGATCTGATGACAAAATGCATTGTTTCAATCTTGCTATTCTGCTGTCTCAGCATATAAAATATTTCATCAAAGAATAGTTGCAAAAATAGCCAGTGCCGTGTGGATGTGTTTGTCATTTGAATTTCTTATTCTTAAAATGAGCTTTTATGTGAAGGTAATTTGGATTACAACGTCACTGGACACAAGTTTACAAAAATATGTTTCAGTTCAATACTGAAAGAGTTAATTAAGTTTTTCCTTGGTATTAAGATTGAACTGTGTCTGCAGGAGTCATATTGACACCCCAGTGCATGGTAACTCTACTCCTTTATTGACATGTTGCTAGTCAAGAGCACAATAGCACTCTGTGTCTGCAAATCATTGGTAAAATCATCTCAAGAAAAAAAAAGTTTGAAAGCCTAACGCCAGACAAAGGCACAAGAGCTGCACTGCGCAGCTAAAAACTTCAGAGTCAGCAACTTCTATTGATTAAAAACTAACCTTTAAAGTAACTCTCAGAGTGTGTGGTTAGCATTTAAATTTAAACATGTCATGAGTTGATTTGTGTTACAGAATACCAACTCAGAAGGAGTTACATTCACATCAGATTTTTTTTTCTAATTCCCTTAAGCAGCTAAAGTATTTCATGAAATGTCAATAGGGCAGCGGAGGGAAAAAAAGGGGGTTTGGGGGGGAGCGGGGGGGAAGCAGAACTGAGTCTTGTAGTTCCTTTTCCCATGCAAATATTCAGCCCCAAAAGAAAAGTGTGGGGAGTGAAACACAATAATTAGACCTTTGTCTAACTTTCCCAAGTGCCAGAGAAAGACAGATTAATTAAATATACAACAGTGTTAGTTTTTGGAGTGGGGGTCTCTCTTGCTGTGTAGGTCATAAATTAGGCAGAATAAATACTTCAATGTGTTTGCAGTGGGCCTGCTACGTCAGAGCCACTGGTAGGTTGGTGGGAGGAGAGCAGAGTGTTTCTTGCTAATGATAGTCACGTCTGGGTCTGTCTGGTTGCTAGGAGCAACCAGACATGATGTAACACCAGGATGAACTTGAACTTGGGGGACTTGAAAAGGGAACAATAGACCAGAGCAATCAATAAAGCCTATTTCAGTGAAGGATTACAGAGCTGCTCTGGGGTAACCTTGTCTGCAAGGCACACACTGAATAGTAAGATGTGTGAAGAAACTTTCTGCTTTTTAAGAGGAGTGCAGAAGCATTGCAGAATATTTTAGTAATGCAGTGAGTAGCAGGGAGAAATGTGGTATAGAAAAGTGCACCCCCTGCTGTCCAAAATGTGCACTAAGAACCATTATAAGAAATACTGCATTTAACTGCACTGAAGGAAGATTAGGAGTTTCAAACTGGTTTCCTTACACTTCAGTAATTAAAACTCCAGACCACTTTAGCACCCCAATAATCAAAATCCGATCTATTAAAAATGAGATGTCCAAAGACGAGAGAGGCCTAATCATGATGCCAGTTTAGCAGCGGTCTGGACATATTGCACAATTACTGCTTTTTTGAATGAGTGGAAGGTGTTGATGTGTATTTGCCAGAGCAGTTTGCCTTCCTGAGTTCTTTAAAGCAAGTGGTTAACAATAACGCATGTCTGAAAACACAGGCCATGTATTTTTTAAAAATCTGCTTTTGAAATAAAAGTCTACTTGCGAGGCCAGTAAATCTTACCCCAATGTATATAACTATCATTTTGCTGTTTATCCGTGTAATCAGGCAAATCTTGATGGTAGCCAACTGGACCTCTGCAATAAAAGGATTTTTATCTATTTGAATGATCAAGTCTGAATTTTAACCCTTTTGCTCCCTGCTATGCACTTTCACAAAGCTCATCCTTGTCCATTCAAACCATTCTGAAAGCTATAACATTTGTATTATGATTGTAAAACAGACACGTAAAGTTCAGAACAACTTGAAAATTGTGATCGTTATGATACCATCCGGGGGCCAATTCCTGCTTGCCTTATCTGTGCGCGTAACCCTATCAAAATCAATGGGACTGTTTAATCAATAAGGAGAGCAGGATTCGGCACTGCTGTTAAAATAAAATAATAAGCAGTGGCTACATGAACCCTGGAAGACTTTTTTTCTGTTTATAAACTGTGTGTATGAAAACTGTTTCATTTAATTACCCAGCCTGTCTGAGTATGAATACAAAATTCGTATGCAATAGTTGAAATAGATATGGGGATGGTATGTCTGTGCTCAGAAAGGGGAATGAAGGAAGAGCTAGCTAATGAAGTGATTACTGACAACATTTCTCATACCATATTATTTAGTTTATCAGTTTCTATAGAGCCTACCACCATGGCAAGAACATATAATCTTGAAGTCCAGCCTGGTCCTTGCCTTAGGGGCCTCTATAAATATTAATACATAATATTGTGGCTGATGTACTATAAATCACATGAAATGCTGGAGGAAGAAGGTGGTAAAATTTGTCATCAGTATGAATGTGTTCAACTATGCATCTCATATGATATGACAGGAGCTTATATAAAATGTAGATTATCAGCAACAAGTCTCTCATACCTGAGCCTTTCTCATTATGCTCTTTTACCTTAAACTATAGTTACTGCTTGTTATTTTAATACCCAAGAGAGCAGTACACATGCAAATCCACATTCAGTTTACAATCCCAGGATCTGATACTGATCTTCCTCATATCTGTTTTACACTGGTGTGAATCCACCAGGCCTGTTCTGATCTCACTTATACCCATTTTACCCCAGTGAAAATAAAGCTAAATTGATTTTAGTATAGCTACTCTTGACTTACACTAGTGTAAATGAGATGCCCATGCAGGCCCTAATGGGCTTATTCTGATCCTGTGGAAAAAGTTGCTTTCTCTGCCTGGGGCACTTCGGTTTTCCTTGGGGTCAGGACCATATCATCTTCGGAGTGCTAAAATCAGCCACACTGAAGTTCATAGGAAAGGGTGAGTGGTAACAAATCTGTGCAATTAGCTCAGTTTGTCAAGTCCTCAAACTCTGTCCCCCTCTTTCGAATATGAGGATTGCAGTGCTATTTGCAGCTCCTTCCAAAACATCTGGAATTGCAATCCACTGAAAGGTTTTCTCTCTGTTTTGCAGTCCTGGTACCTGGGATAAAAGTCACAGCTTCCCATCACCCACCGGACAGACCACCTGACTCCTTCCCAACTCCGTAACATGGAAGCAGCAGCAACACCGTGCAGTTACTTCACGTCAGTGGAAGGAGAGATGAACAGCTACCGACAGCAAACAAGTAGTACATGGAAATGGCAAATGTTATGGTCAATGGCAAAGGCCATAACTTCTCTGAGATTTTTTTAGACACCTTTGGGACTGTTGTGATTTCTCATATGGTGCTGGAAATGGTTGGGCTTTGTAATTTTTGAAGTGTTTCATTGGTAGTGTAAGTATTAGGTGACACTGGGTAGAACTAGCCTCTGCTGCTGCTTACTGACTCGCTGTTGTAACACACTTTCCATATGGAGCCTAACTGTTTTACAGCATTTTCATTGATTTTTTTTTTCCCATGCAGGTGTGAGACTTCTTGAGAAATCATGAAACACACTTAAACTGTAACTTTTGTAGTAGGTGAATTCTGCAATATATAAACGTACAGGACAGACATGGGGCGTGTTTTTCTGTAACAGATCGGGGGGGAAATGCAGTTTTTTTGTTTTGTTGTTGGTCTTTTTTTTTTTTTTTTTTACAGTTAGATACATAACATGAACAATATGAGCATTGTCAACAGGTTTTTTTCCACTCAAGTTGCAGAGTGATTTAAAACATCAAACTACTACTATTCACTAAAAAAAGAAAAAAAGGAAAAAAAAGAAAAAAGTTTGAAATGCTGCACTTACATAACATTTTTTCAACAATTTTCAACAATTACACAAAAATTCATGCAGAAATGGGGAAGTTGGTCTGTTTTGACAGAAACTGACAGGAATCAAAACAATCGAATTTTGAATTGAGTAAAGTGCAATTTCATTGGATAGCTAAATATCTTTGTAAGATAGAGATTGTTGAAAATTCTATTTTTGTTTTCCAAGTCCTTCCACCCCAGGACTCTAAAGTATTGGGGTAAAAAACAGCCTTGCAAGAAAAAGGGGAGCTATTTTTGCTTTTTATGTTTTTTATTGTTAAACTTGTATCCCTTTAAAACTGAAGGAAAATTAAAAAAAAAAACTAATGGTGCTTTTACCACAATATGTTAACTACATTAAATGCTAATTAATCATTTTCTGTTATCAAAGCACATAACTAAAATGAAATCATAATATCTGTTAATTTTATAAGCTAAAAGTCACTATAATGGATTATGCCAATTCTGACAAATTTTACGTCTTTCCGGCAATATAGGGTTTATCAGTTCTCAAACACCTTGGGAATCACATAGAACTGTCCAGAAATTAAAACACCTTTGTGTCCCTGAACTGGTACTTTTTCTGGACTACAAAGAAAACAATACAGAAACGAATGCTGATGTGACAACTTAACGCCAGTTCAAAGCAAGGGCACTTGCTGAAAAAGAAAAAAAGTTTGGACCCCAAACGTCCTGTATCTTATGTACAAAAAAAAAAAGAAAAAAAAGGAAAAAAAGGAAGAAATAAAAAAAAAGAGTGCAAGTGATTTTTCCTATCAGACAGCGGAGCATCCCTTTGCTTCACATGTGACTTTAAGAAGGTTTCCTATACTATACATATATATACGTTCTGGTTGGCAAGTCCAGCTAATCAGAGAAAGTCTCTGCATGTTCTAGTGTTAGTAACTAATTTTTATATAGTTAATGTAGGGTAAAGTAGAGTGCATTAAGACACAATATTGTAATCCCTATTCCAGGCACTTGCCTTTAAACTATGTTTGTATGGCCCTTCAGAAGGGTTTCTACTACTGTCCTATACAATCAAGTAACTGAAATTCTTGGGAAGACACTTTGCTCCTCATCTTTTCCCTGAAACAATGTTTTTTTTTTTTCTTAATTTGCACGAAACAAAAAAAAAAACAAAAACAAAAAATTCCATATCAATGTGCCTTGCCCTGGATAGCGATTATTTGTGGAATTGTTGCACATGTTCCTATATTGAAAGGGGTTTTTCCCTAGTCAAGCATTTGGAGACACTTTTTGTAAATGTGACTTTTATGTCAGCCATTGTCAGTTTCAACATCTAGAATTAAATAGAATGTTAGTTGTTCCGCAGATAGGAGTAGTGTTTATTGTCCTGTATGGTCAGTGGCAGTGCTATTCTGAGATCTGTAGATGCTAGATTATCAGTATTTTTGGATGTTGCTGCATTTTACATTTTATTTGGAGTCTTCCTTTTGTTTTGTTTTTCCCAGATATATGAAAATATGCAATACCTGCTTATATCATGTAGAAAAGCTTAGCAATTATTAATTTTTCTTTTATTTTTTTTTATTTGACCAAAGTTGGTGCTGCACTTGACGCAGTGTGTTTTAGGTGTTTGTCTTTGTACTTATGTGATTTTGAATGCACATGCAGGAAGGGCTCTTCTTAGAGAAGCAGTCAAACTGTGAAGCACTAAGCTGAACCCTGCTTCAAGCAATTTTTGTTTTACAATTGTTCCTTTCACAAGCAAGCCTTAAAAAAAAAACAAAAAAAAACTTCCTTTTTCTTCAGATCCCACACCCATTTTTATTAGCAGACTGCAATCAAGCCACATTCAACAAAAGTATATAATGCCCATTTTTATATGCACGTTTTTAAACTTCCAAGTTCTGAAAATTGTTTACTGGTTATTCTCTATTTAAGGAAAAAAATAAAATGTTTTGGATTTTCATATGTGTCTGATAAGTGGTTGAGTAGTCATTTTGCTCTGTTGTATTGTGTGATTGTTAGTATATGGTATCACATCCTCTAGCCAGCATCCTTTGCCTTCCCTATAGCACTTAGCTGGGCATTACTTTATTAAGACATATGTGCACTAAAAAAAATAATAATAAAATTAAAAAATAGCAGCTTTCAGTGCTTCACAGTGAAGGGAAAAAAGCCTAGACAAACATTTTGTCAGAACCTTGCTATAAGCCAAGGTATTACCAGTAAATTGGTTGTATATACAATAAAATTGCACCCTTTTTTAAACAAAACAAACTTAAGCAATAGTTTGGGCAGTTAGTTGTTTTTAGTGAGCATGTTGTAGTCATGGCTGCAAAGAGAGAGAATTAAACTGCCCACTCAGAAGATATGTAATTTGTATGTTGTATAGTTTTATTGAGTACACTGATTTATTCTACCCTATTTTATAATGCAGGACTTTTGTAATGTTGTTTAAATGAGGACAAATTTCTGTCAAATTAGCTTAGTGGAATTTCTGATTGTTCGTTATAAAGGCAGCGTTCATAGAATTGCTTTTTTTTCCCTTTGGGAACTGGATTTAAGTTAAAAACTTTCCTGTTTCCGTTTTGTATGTATTTAAATACAGTTATTTTTCTTCTCTCAATGGTATAGCATATTCCTATGCTTGAGAAGTATAGGCTACTGAAGAACCATTGTAAATGGACAGTACAGGTATGCTGTATTTTTGAAGGTATTTTGTCGCATTAAGTTTGATGACGCTAAAGTTAGGGAATTCTGATCAGAGTTGCAGAAAAAAATGTTTTAAAGGCTTTAAAACATTAAGTAGGCGGTCAAGGGTGTTAATCAACAGTGGTTGTAAAGTATTAAACACACTAAATTAAATTTTTGTTCGCCTTATTACCATGCAGAAAACACAGCAGTTCAGTTCTGTTCAGGTATGGAGAACAAACAGTTTTTTATTCCTCAAAGTAAAGCAAAGACTGGAGTTCTGAGCAAGTCAGCTGCTTGGGGTGTGCAGCCTACAATAAAGAAAACATGCAAGAGCCAGGCGGACAGTGTTGGTCCCTAATTCAGAATCCGATTACATTTCCTTCCCCTTTTAAATAGTTTTATTAGTTTGCTAAAAAATAATGCAAACAACTTCTATTCCCTCTCCACCCACTCTCTGGAAATTTTGTCAGACATAAATACTGACTCATACTCAACTCCCTCCTCCCCCCACCCCACAAATTTAAAGATTTAAAAATTGCTTGTCACAAATTCCTTTCACTAGTTCATTCCTCACTTTTCCTTTTTTTGAACTAGGCCACTTGCTTTTGTTGTGCTGCGCACCCCAGCAATGCCGTTCTTTATTCCTTGTCCTTTATCATAAAACTTACGGGCTAAAGTTAGGCAGCCATGGCATACTTTGTCTCCGCTCTTTATTCCCGCTCATCCCTCCTCTCTTGAGGTTGAAGGGTAAAGGAAACACAAACTTTCCTCAACTCCACAGTATTCAGTCAGCCCACAGGAATATGCAAAATCCCTCTAACTTTGTTTTTCTTTCACTATTTCTTTTTGTTCCATATATTTTGCAGCTTTGTAGTAACAGTGTTATAAAATATTTACTGTACAAAAAAATACAAAAAAACCCAGATACATAGCCTAAAACAGTTTTTTTTTTCCTTGTGGTGATTTTTTTTTTTTAAAGAATGTCAGTTAATATTGTACTTTGCATTTGTCTCTGGAAATATCTTCTTCTTCTTTTCTTTTTTTTTAGAAGGCCTCCATCGAACAAAATTAAAAACACAACCGGCATGATAATGTAAGGAGAGCTTCAATGGCACCTAAAAACTAAACAAACAAATCTCATGAGATCTGTTGAAGGAAGGTCTCATGAAGTGAACGCTGCCTGCTAGGCAGGATTTTCATCAAATCAGTCTTGCAATGCCAATTTTGTCTTGAAGTCAATGCATGTATTACTGTTTGACAGTAAACCCGGCTATGCCATCATCAAGTCCAAGGCTGTGCAATAGTCTAATTAGTATTGAGGACATTTTCCTTTTATTTTTTCCAATAAAAAAGCAGTGGGATGAAAATTGCTTTGATATATAGCAGGTAACATTGAAGCTATTCCATAGCACTTAACTGTAGTGAATACTGTGTCACCAATTCTGAAATCAATTTAATGTTTAATGCAAATCCATTACATGGTGCTATTACAGGCTGGCAAAATGATTTACAAAAATGTGACAACTTGGGCTCAATTCACTCTGCTTTCCAACAATGTAAATGCATAGCAGTGTTTATCTGCATGAGAACTATGCACTAATCTGTCTGAAAAAAAAAGAATATATCAACTTTGGTATCTACTTTCCGTTTACTTAAATCCTTGCCTTTTTGGTCATTGTTATAATGCCAGCTTTAGGACAGAGAGAATTATAAGAAAACCAGCATAATACCTGATATATTAAAATGTAGTGCCTGTGAAATCTGTATTATATTGCTCTTCTGAAGTAAGATTTTTTCTACACCGGTAGCCTTCGCTGTCTGTCAGAACCTTCTGATATAGGTGATGTAAAATAACCGTACAATATTAATGCATGCTATTCCATAATGCTTAGTGAGCTGTATGAATATTACTCAAAGTTATGTTAGTCTTTTTTTCTGACTTGGTTCGTGTCAGATAGGTTTAAAAATATTTCACTGAGAACGCAAATTCTGTCTTTTCTTGATTTGGGGTGTTTTCAGTATTTTGGAGGTATACATTTACTTAAATTCAGTATTACTTGTGTTGGTTTTTTTTTTCTTTTTCCTAGAGGGCAGGCATGGGTATTGAGACCAGAAATCCGTGCCTGGTAAGATTTTTGTCTCAAAAGCTACCATAAGAATTCCAAGAGAACATATGTATAAAGTTTAAATTTAAGGGATAGTTCTCAAACCCATAACTGAGACTTAGCTGATGTCGAAAGCGCTTTCTTAATGAGCAGCGTTTAACCAGGTACCCATGCTTGACCCTTTTTCACATCAGACCTCCTCATATAAAAGAAAAAATCCTTAAAAAAAAGAGAGAGAGAGAGAGAAAGAAAAGAAAAAAAAAGAAAAATCTCATGTGGCTGTTTAGTTTCAATATTTTTCCTTCAAACAAAACTCTGTACAAACTTTGGGCCTGATTCATAAAAGACCATTTGCTATTAACACGGGATTTTGGTGTACTTTTCTCATCCAAATCTGAGAACACTTTCTTTCTAAGTATATGCTTCAGCAAGACCCTCTTCCCTGTGCACAAGCACCCGCCTGCCTTTTATGTCCCCTGAGGGCTACACACCCCATAACAGGAGCAGAATCAATCAGAAAAGATGGCCATGGCAGGGGACAGAATGTCATGTCCAATACCTGAAATACACAAGAATTTTAAAAGGAAAGGGGAATGTAGAGGAGAGGACAGCCCTATACTGCACTCTGGCCATTACATGGGTTTTATGCATTTATGTGTGATGTTCCTTGATTACAAAAGGAATTAGTCTGTTCCATAGCAAAATATGCTAGGTGTGCTACCTCTGATTTCTACAGAGACCATTCATAAAGGAAAACACTCACAATGTAAACTTTGGTACTTTTTACAGTGGATTTTAAGGAAGACTGTTTTCCACTTAGTCTATACCTTTGCCAATGAGTGAATAAAACAATATTCTTTACCCAAATCTCCCCTCTCCTCCTCCTTTCTACAAATTCATAATTTTTTTAGAAAGAAGAAAGGCAAATAAGGTGAATGATTCGCTTTAGAGTTGAGTATGGTAGCTGTAAACTCTCATCCTTTACCACTGGTTTTGTTACTTCTGTAGAAATGCAGGGTAAATAATGGTTACCAATACCATACAATGGAGGTTTACAAAATTGTTTGCTGTGGACATACAATCAGTGGGAAATCCCCATTCTGCACCTGTATTGGGTTTCTTCCCACAGTTCAGCATTCGCCCAGCTCCTCTTACCCTTGTCCACTCAAGTTCCTCATTTTAATTTTCAGTTTGCTGGACAAAACACTTCTAATGGATGTGTGAAAGATCTGCTGGAAAATCACTTAGTACCCGTGTTAATACCATGTTGTCTTCATGGTTTTGAGTCGAGCCCCTTGTACCTCTCGTATACTTGTATTGACTCTCATAGTTACCATTTTAGTTTTAATGTGTTCTGTGAAAAAGAATTGAAATTGGTTGAGAATCACTGTGGGCATCCATTCTTATTCAACTAAATCTCTGCAGGTTTTTTGAGCTGGTGTGGATTAGTTTAACTCTTGTATTCAACCATTAGTGCTACCACCTTCTCACATTACAATACAATTACTGGAAGCAAGTACTGCATTTCCTATGCAACAAAAAAAGGAAAATAAAAAATTGCTAATGCTAACAAACGGTGTTGTTCTTTACTTTGTGCTGTGCCCTTGTGTGCTTCTGGGGCCACCATAATTATTGCCTGTTGAAACACGACTTTAATATCGGGTATGTAACGGAGCTCTTCGGGCCAGCTTCATGCCTTTTATCTGGTTCCACTTCATTAGCTAGTCCCCAGACATGTGGACTTTCAGTTGCATTGACTCGTAAATAAATATGTAACAAACTATACTTTTCAGTTCTGTGGGTGTCCTGTTTACAAACATTATGGATTCAAAATAACTATATAGTCAGTCTAAAAAAGAGGGGATACTTCTTGCTGAAATGAACAGAGAACATGCATTAATTTTGAAAACAGTAGGGCATGTCTTAAGGTCACCCTTAAGTACACTGATATGCGACATGAGGTCACTAAGTATCAACTTGCACTCTGGTCCTTAGCATTTGAATTCCATTTTTAGTGCTTTGTAAATACAGATATTTTATGCAGGTATCTGGAGTTATAGTATAAATGAGATACCCATGAATGTAAAGCTTATGTGGAGATAGAACAGAGACTGTTTTTCACAATTTGTAAGTGTTCTACCATATATGACACAGTTTTTAAAATAATTTAACCATTTTTTAAATTTACTATTGACAAAAGTAACTGTTTGCAGTTGAGTAGCAGGTACTTTCTCAAACACTTCTAGGTAAAAGTTTGTGCTGAGTATCCCACTAGATTAGACGTGTTGTACATCTCTTATGTTTGGCATCGTAATAATAGAAGATACATGCTACCTCTGAAATACACTGCACCTTTCTAAAGCAACACAGACATACAGGTGTAATGTGAATTCTTCTATGTGGTTTTGAGGGAAATATTTTTTTTTTAATAAATGTTTTTCTACACACACAAAGCTCTTGTACTTTTTTCTTAAATATATATATTTTAATGTATACAGGAGCATGAAAGTCTTTGGCTATTTTTGTAGCTGGAGTATGTTTGATGTAACCATTCTCTAGTACCCTCATCTTGTATCCATTTCATGTGCAGCAACACTGGGCCAAATTCTGCTCTTGATTTCATCCAGTCAAAATTGGAGCTGCTTCACTGATTTACTGCAAGAAGAAAAGACCCACCAGCTCACCTAGGATTCAGCTGAAGTCAGTGGATTTATTCCAGGTTTGCACCATGGTAATTGAGGGTATGTCTCTACACAGCAACTACAAATTCATGGCTGGCCCATGCCAGCAGACTTGAGCTCACAGGGCTCAGGCTGTGGGGGCTGTTTCACTGCTGTCCATACTTCTGGGCTTGGGCTGGAGCACTGGGACCCTCCCATCCCGTAGGGTCCTAGAGTCCGAGATCTATCCCAAACCGGAAAGTCTACACAGCAATGATACAGCCCCTCACAGCAAGCCCTGTGAGCCCAAGTTGGTACAGGCCAGATGAGGGGTTTTGTTTGCTGTGTAGACATACCCTATAAGCGGACTTGTGCCCATTAGATTTGATTTTTCTCTCACGTCAGTATTAGACAAGAGTAGTTACACTGAAGTCATTCAAATTCAACAAGAATTAAACCAAAGTGCAAGAGGAGAATCAGGCCCATTCCACCCAATTACACCTTTAGTTAAGGCCATGTGTTATTTCACATATAAACTATCTATTGTTCAAAATACTTTAACACATTTTTGTCTCCAGCTCACGCCCACCTCCAAGTTTGATTTTTGCACATACCTGAGTAATACTTGCATAGAATTAACTCCTTGCATCCCATTTTCCTCCTGAATGACCATGTAAGAGATCTTTTTTTTTTTTATTAGAAACAAATGCATCACACAGAATTACCTTTCAAGTTAAAAAAACAAATAAATGGGTGGAGAGTGAGAACTTGACAAATACACCAAAAAGGTCCAAACTGGGCAAACTCTCCTCTTCCACTAATCCCAGAAAAGTCACCTAAATTAAAGGTGAACTTGGGACCTTCTCCAACTCTCTCTGTTGGAAGCTATGAAATCTCTGTGGTAACCATTTACAATTGAATAATCCAGTTCATCAACGGTAAAAAGATAATTATATTCACTTCATAAAGTCGATTCAGCCCAGGAAAAGCTAGGAAGGTTTTGCTGGTAGTCAAGAAAATCTGCCCTACAATATGTTAGACCAGTTACAGCAATTGGAACACAGGTAGATGTTCTCTTCTGTCTATTTCAACATTTTTACTAAGTAGGTCTAATCAAATGACCACATTTCAGTATTTCTATAAATCCATCACTACACAAACATACTTGTTTTTAGAGCTGGGCAAAATTTTCTATGGGGTGGTTTTCTATCAGACCTTGAATTTTCCACACACAAAGCATGGTTGAAAATTCAAAATTTCTTGTAGAAAATTCAATTTTGACAGCAAAAAAAAAAGCCCCTGATTTTTTAAATACAATTTGTATCCAGAATGTTTGGTTATTTTTATACCAGCTTCACTCAGTTTCTATAAATAGAGACATGTAGTGTTTGGTTAAATGAGTTCACTGTCTCAGTTAATTTCCCTGTGCATGGGTAACCGCATCAAAAAAGGCTCCAGCCACAACAGGTATGTTTGCTGGCGGTTTCAGCAGTGAGGCCAGTGATGGGCCACAGAGACAGACATACTATGCGATCCCTGGAGGTGGTTCCTTGCTACAGGTCAGAATTGAGACACATTGGCAGGGCAGTGTAAGGAACCGTGTGTTGCCATGGGCCCTGTAGAATTTGCTCTATGGATATGATGAGAGTGCGGTACTTTCGCCAGCACGATTTTTACACACATATATGAATAGATATAAAAAATTAACATAAAATTTAAAAAAAAGTTTATTAAATGTCAAAAGGCAAAAGTTTCTCTTGACCCCATATTCATCCCTGACCCCTTTGAAATCTGATTTCTTCTATCTCTGGTCAACTGAAATTGCTCTCACTAATGTTACTCATTAACTCTTTTTTTCCTTTTTGGTCATGCCCTCCTCTACTCACTCACTGCCTTGCACGTCTGACTGCACTTTCTTGACTGTCCTACCTCTTATAGAGTCATAGAATCATAGAATATCAGGGTTGGAAGGGACCTCAGGAGGTCATCTAGTCCAACCCCCTGCTCAAAGCAGGACCGATCCCCAATTAAATCATCCCAGCCAGGGCTTTGTCAAGCCTGACCTTAAAAACTTCTAAGGAAGGAGATTCCACCACCTCCCTAGGTAATGCATTCCAGTGTTTCACCACCCTCCTAGTGAAAAAGCTTTTCCTAATATCCAACCTAAATCTCCCCCACTGCAATTTGAGACCATTACTCCTTGTTCTGTCATCTGCTACCACTGAGAACAGTCTAGAGCCATCCTCTTTGGAACCCCCTTTCAGGTAGTTGAAAGCAGCTATCAAATCCCCCCTCATTCTTCATGTGTTATCACTATTATTTATTCTTGATTCTGATAATGCTCAGACTGTACAAACACAAAAAAAGACATGATCCCTGTCCTGATGGGCTTACATCCAAAAAAACCCACATTGAACACACAGATGGCCAGTAGAGAAAAGAGGACCATCCAGGAAGTATGGTGTCCTGTCCAGATGATCCAAATTGGCCATCTCCTGCTCATGCAAAGTTTTAAGGATAGTATATCTAGGTCATGGTATAAATGGGATGAGGAGAGGGAAGTGACCTTGTAGTCCAGCATATATGTAAGCATGTCATGGAGGCAAGTGCTGAGAAGTTTGTTGGAGATGCAGACAATCAACAAGCAAAGGCTGGTGTTTTTGGCAGAGTAGAATGGAGAGTGAAAATAGGGGAGATTGAATAAGCTCAGATTTTTGAAGCACCTTGGAGGCAAGGACAAGATGGTTGAACCTGATATGGAAGAGGGGAGATTAAAAGAGGGCAGTGACAAGGTCAAGCCAATAGACAAGGAAGATGCTCTTAATGGTGGTATTTTGTATTGACTGAAGTAGTGAGAAGAAAAGAGTAGGGGGAGTGAGAAGCGGGAGAGATATTCAGTATGCAAGATAAGGAGGACCTGAATGAGAGTCCTGAGTGTTGTGATAGAAAGAAAAGGGACAATCTTAGGAATGTTTGGGAGGAAAAAGAAGCAGAATTTGGACCTGGCTGGTATGTGTGAGACAAGGGAGAGCATACGATAACCTGGGTTTTGGGATGTCGCTGGTAGAAAAATGTGCAATTGTTTCCATGTCACAGTGTTCAAAATGGAAATATTTTCTGTGGGTTTTTTGGAGGGGTTGTTGAAAATTTTTACTACCTATTTTTTCAAAAACTTTTGAAACTGGTCAGCTTGGAATGATTTTACTTCTGAAAGTCAAAATTTGTAATGCTACCCCTGCCTCTACTTTAGTTCCCTTTTCCTCCACTAAGAGCAATGACGTAAGTGGTGTCCAGAGTCGCTTTGTTTGGTGTTTTGGTTTGGTTTTGGGGAGGTGGGGGGGCTCTCACTTTTTTCCCTTTGCAATTCTGTAACTTTGCCAAAGCTGAGGCCATTTTGGAAAAGCTAGAATGGCAAAAGAAAAGAGACAATTAAGTGGGGGGGGGGTCCTGTGCATCATTCATTCTTTAATTCAGTGGTAGTGTCTTCAAGGATGTCACCAACCTGACGAGCTACACTTACAAACGTTTTCAAAAAAGAGGCCATATTTTTCCATTGGAAAAAAGTATCAAACAAAAAAACTTTCAATCAGCTCTAGTTATGGGCCCGTGTGCTAGGGAAGAAGATGGTGTTGCCGACAATGGCAGAGAACTGGGGGAGGCGGGGGAGATGTAAGGCATTACATTTGGACCATTTTGAATATAATTCAATAGTGAGATGTGAAGAGATGTCAGCCAGTCTGAGACACAGTGCTGGGTGGAAAAAGCCAAGTCAAGAGTGGCCAGGTAGGTTTCAGAGTCACCAGGCTAGCACTCATAACTGAAACCAAATGTGTGAGGCTAGGGCAAAGGAAAGCGTCTTAGGGTCAAACAGAGATAACATGATAGAGGCGGAGGTTCTGGCAAAAGATTCTGAA